GTCCACTCTCAGTTTTCCAGGGGAAACGAAACTAAGATTAAAGTAAACATAACAATGGAACTGTGAGATGCATAACACTTGTGTCTTCTGTCAATCATCTTCAAAATCTCGCACCAACTGAAGCTCAGCCTTTACTGATGACTCAGTGTAGTTAAGACACGAAGAACATATTGTAAATCTATATAAATAATAATGGAAATGTTCGTTTGTTCAAAATCGCTAATCTCCGAAAGTTCTTCACCGATTTCCTTGAAATTTTCAAACAACGTTCCTTTCACATCCGAGCGGGTTTTTATATGCATACTATATAGATGTCACGTCTGTGAAGGGAAAAACATGCTTTTTTTGAAAAGCTGTGTTTTTCGTGTGGTTTTCAAGAGAAGGAAATCTTCGAAACCTCTTTACCGATTGCTTTGAAATCTTGACACAACATTGCATTCGAATAGGCGAGTGTTTTTATATACCTACTATATACATGACTCACCTGTGACAGGAAAAAAAACATGATTATTTTGAAAAACAGCGCCATCTGTAGGACGTATGAGCAACACACGCTGTAATCTCCGAAAGTTATTCACCGACTGCATTGAAATTTTGACACGACATTCCTTTAGAATACGTGTGTGTTTTGATATGCCTACTATTTAGATGCCACATCTGGTACAGGTAAAAACATGCATTTTTTGAAAAACAGTGCCATCTGTTGCACGTAAGAGCAATATACGTTATACAAGATATGTTACGATTCAATTTCAATGTTTCCGATTGCATTGATATATTGAATTTTCATAGATTTTGATTTATTTTCATTTTGATTTACTTATTTTGTGTGACATTGCGATGGACTTGAGCTGTGTTGTTTACCATACCGTTCATTTCGTGAGTATAGTTTATTTGTTTCTTTTTTCATCGTTTTTCATTCGGTTTTTTTAACTGTTCTTATTTTTCAGTGCAATTGGTGGTGAAATTGAGCTGTGTCGATTGATCTGCGTTTGAATTGAAATATTTCATTAGTATTTTTTGTTTTTGGTTTGAAAACAAAAAAATGGACAACACGTTTATTTCACAGCTGCAAATGTGCAACAAACAGCTATGAATCCACCGACTACAACAACGTTAACTGCTTTATTCACGTTATGTCAGAATGACGCGTTTGCGAAAACATTGCTGTGTTTGGACGTGCCTACATATTACACATGGAATGCCAATGGTAAATCATTTGAACGACGTAAACGAGGAGAGCGAGTCGACGGACAACCTGACATATTCAAGCAAACTACGATAGGCAGACTGAACACCGTGCATCCCAATCAAGATGAATGCTTCTTTCTTCGCATATTGTTGGTAAATGTGCCCGGTCCAACGTCTTTCCAGCAATTGAGATTTATCAGCGGCGTAACTCATGCCACTTTCCATAGTGCATGTCACGCTCTGAATTTATTGGAGAACGACCGACACTGGGTTGTATGCATTAATGACACGTCCAACACGTCACATCCAAATCAAATTCGTGCATTGTTTGCAATCATATTGACCACCGACTCTCCTTCATCTCCAACAGAGTTTGGGAGAAACACAAATCGCACAAGGCTGAAGATATTGTCCGTCGAATATATAAGGAAAATTCGAATATGAACATGAATTTTACAGCAGAAATCTACAACGAAGCGTTGATAATGATTGGAGATTTGTACTTAGAAATTGCGAACAAAGTTCTCAATCAATTGGGAATGCCATCACCAAATCGATCTGCAGCTGCTTTGTTCAATGTAGAATTGCGTCGTTAACAAAATTATTACATGGGTGATCTGTTGTCGTATGTGCAATCAAATATTCTTAAGCTACCGCTTGAGCGAAAAGGTCTTTACGATCAAATAATTCAAACTGTCAATAACGGGTTTGGAGAAATCTTCTAAGATGCGTCAGGAGGAACTGTAAAGCCTTTCTAACTAGATTGGTTTTAGCAGCATTTCGATCCCAAAATGGCATAACCTTAGCTCTTGCATCGTCCGGAATAGCTGCAACATTGCTACCAGGTGGAAGAACTGCCACTTCGGCTTTGAAATTGCCATTGAACATGCAATTCATTGAAACTCCCACGTGCAACATTTCCAAAGCATCCAGCAAGGGAAAAGTATTGCAGAAATGTAAACTTATTGTTTGGGATGAATGCACAATGACCCACAAAAAATCATTCGAGGCTCTTGATCGATCATTGCAAGATTTGCGTGGAAACATCAGACCATTTGGGAATGCATTAATATTGCTTGCAGGAGATTTTATGCAAACATTACCTGTAATTCCTTGATCGACACCAGCAGACGAAATAAATGCTTGCGTTAAATACTCTACTTTGTGGCGCCACGTAAAGATGTTAAAATTGACTACAAATATGCGTGTCCAGCTGCAAAACGACTCATCAGCTGAGATATTCTCACATCAATTTCTGGAAATTGAGAACGGAAACGTGGCAGTCACATACAAGTCCGTCGACACGGTGGTGGAAGCAGATGAAGCGATAAATTATCCAACAGATTTTCTTAATTCACTCGATCTGCCAGGGATACCACCACCACCGCACGAACTGCAATTAAAAATCGGCGTGCCAGTTATCATGTTACGAAATATCAACCAGCCAAAGCTTAGCATCGGCACGCGGCTTGCAGTAAAAATTTATTCAGCAACGTCGTAGAAGCAACAATCTTGACAGGACCTTTCAAAGGTGAAGATGTCCTCATTCCTCACATTCCTATGATTCCAACGGATTTGCCATTTCAATTTAAGAGATTGTAATTCTTAATTTGATTGGCGTTTGCAATCACCATCAACAAAGCTCAGAGCCAATCTTTAGAATTGTGCGGTTTAGATCTAGACACGGACTGCTTCTCACGTGAACAATTATGTTACGTGTTCTAGAGTCGGCAATCAGACAATCTCTATATCTTCACAGACAGTGGAACAACAAAAATATTGTATACCCACAAGCATTGTGAAATTAAACATGTTAGAAACGTGTATATTCTCTTTTCTTTCTTTTCCATTTAACCAGACTGAGCCACAGCAACGCGTGGCGGGTACAGCTAATCTATATAAATAAAAATGGAAATGTTCGTTTGTTCAAAATCGCTAATCTCTGAAAGTTCTTCACTGATTGCTTTGAAATTTTGACACAACGTTCCAATCGAATACGCGCATGTTTTTTATACCTACTATATAGAGGCCACCCCTGTGACAGGTAAAAACATGCTTTAAAAAAAAACAGCGCCACCTGTTGCAAGTACTAGCAACACACACTGTACTAAATATGTTACGATTCCATTTCAATGTTTCCGATAACATTGATAAATTGAGTTTTCATAGATTTCGTTTATTTTCATTTTGATTTAATTATTTTCTATGACACTGCATTCGAATTGAGCTGTGTTGTTTACCATACCGTTTATGTCGTAAGTATAAATACAGATGCCACACCTATGACAGGGAAAAACTTTTTTTTTTTTTTTAAACAGCGTCTTCTGTTGCACATAAGAGCAACACACGCTATACTAAATATGTTATGATTCCATTTCAATGTTTCCGTTTCATTAATAAATTTAATTTTCATAGATTTCGATTTATTTTTGATTTTGATTTAATTACTTTGTTTGGCATTGCGATGGAATTGAGCTGTGTTGTTTACCATACCGTTCATTTCGTGAGTAAAGCTTATTTGTATAAATAATAGAGCATAATAGGGAGGACGAGGGGATGGGAAAGGGGGAGATGGTGGGGGACAGTGGAGTGGGGAATAGTTAGGAGGACGAGGGGATGGTGGGGAAGACAAAGGGACGGGGGAGAGGAGAATGGTGGGGAAGACTGGGAGACAAAGGAGGGTTGCTGTGGCTGGGTACAGCTAGTCCAAAAAAAAATGATAGTCAGATTTAGAACTAAGAAATTCTAGAAGATCTGAAAGTTGCAACACTAAAGGGTGTAACAACGTTGCAGTAAAGTCAGCACAGTATTGTAACCCGATGTGTGGAGCGACCTTGACTACTGGTCTATCGTGCCAGTTACTGGGAATGAGCCGCTGTCCAAATATTCAGTCTGTAAACTTTGTGACGAACCTTTAAACGTCCTTCAACACAATATTATTATTACAAGTAAAACTAAAAAAATATTTTAAACTTCCTAGCCTAATGTACAATAAACTATTGTTGATTGTAGTTTAGTTTAAATTATTTCAGTGAATCAATCATTGTCGGATGGCGTTACAATGTGCCTTGTGTGGCAGTGAACAACAGAAGCTGTGTCTTAAATTGGTAAAATATGACATATATAATGTATAATGTAGCAGGCTGCAGCCTCCTGAAAAATATATGAGTACAAAAATCTATAATTTAGATCTCCTGTGTATGTCCCTCTCTCCCGTGTGGCAGTATGTGAATCATCTTCACTAAGGCACTATATATATATATAGTTCAACCAACTACGAACCACTTATTTTGATGAAAGGGAGCAGCAATAGAACAACAGAAGTACATTTACATCGCATCAGGCTTGGATACCCATGAATATGGGAAATAGACTTACAAGTTCCAGAAGATGAGAGGAAATGTCAGCACTGTGGAGAAATGCCCAACAGACCAATGGAACATTATCTAGCACAGTGCACAGTTACAAACTCATTAAAATTTAAACTTAGATTCAACAGAGCAGAAGAAGTTGTTAAACACATGGAGCCAAATCTTACTGAAGCGACCATACGAGTCATAAATACTCAGACTCCGCCCAAGTAAAACAGAAACAAGCAACACTTAGTGGGCCAGCCAGAGGCTTAGGGCCCGCGCAGGAATATCCCTGCAAAAAAAAAAGTCCTCACTGAATTACTCAGGTTAGGGATTCTGAAACCTGAAACATGGATTTTGAAACCTGAAACCTTCATGTTAAAGCCTGAAACCTTTATTTGGAACCTGAAACCTGAAACCTTGAGTTCAAAAGATGAGAGGTGTAGGTGGACGTACCAGGGAAGGCGGCAGGGAGAGTGTAGGCCGTGCGCGGCGGCGCTGCTGACGACGGCCGGTCAGCCGAGTTGGCCCGGGCCAGGGACCGTCTGCGCCACTCCGCCTCCAAGCGCTTCTCCAGTTCCAGCTCCTCAGGGGCGGTATCTGAGCGCTGCAGGGGCGCCCTGCGTGCCCTGGGGGGCCCTACACCCAACATGCTTGTGGCCCTTCTCTCTCTCTCTCCCCTGCACTACCTCAGGCCAGATCCATCCTCACTCCGCACCTGTTCACTGGGCTAGGAGCTCTCTGCCTGTGGCGCGGGATAGATCTGAGGGCAGTAGTGCAGGAGGCGTGGCTCGGTGAGTCCTGCTGTGACACTGCTCGTGCCACTACTGCTGGCCGCTACTGCTGCGCGGGGCGCACCAATCACACCTGACATGCCACTGCGCCTCCGTTATAAACCCATTTTTCCTATTCCTTCTCACACATTTTTCCTGGAAAGAGAGAAAGAAAGTTTTAGAGATCGGAAGGGGGTAGCTGGGCGTTGTGGGGAGGGGGGGGCTGGGTGTTGTGGGAGTGGGGCTGGGTGTTGCGGGAGAGGTGGCTGGGTGTTGTGGGAGGGGGGGGGCTGGTGTCGGAAGATGTTGTTATATAACCATAAGAAGTTCTTAATTTACATTGGTTAATCATAAAAACATTAACAGGGAATGGGAGATTCGTGAAGTCATCAAAACATTCACTTAGATTCAACAAGAATCCTTAAAGTTAACAGTTTAATTATTAAACTTGATAGAAAAGTGTTCTCTGTGATTTAACTTAAACAAATCTACCATAAAATTAAAGGCTGTCAATAAAAGAGAGAAAATAGAACCATGTTTCTCGGGACGCTGAGAGAGGGGAGCCTGGGCGAGAGAATGTAACAAGAGGCTGCCCGCGAGGTGTAGCGATACCCAACGCAACAAAGATTTCAGATATCAATCGCCCAACAGTGCAGGCGATGAGTCACAATAACGTGGCTAAAGTAAGTTGACCAAACCACACACTAGAAGGTGAAGGGACGAAGACGTTTCGGTCCGTCCTGGACCATTCTCAAGTCCAGCCCTGACATTCTTGACATTCTCAAGACTTGAGAATGGTCCTGGACCATTTTCAAAACTGGCAAGACCATTGCCTGTCTCTACTTCCTCATCACAGTCGACTTGAGAATGGTCCAGGACGGACCGAAACGTGGTCGTCCAACAGTGCCACAGCGACCTCATCAATAACGGGAAGTGCTAAATATCCGAGTAAACCCCCACGTCGTCTAGTTTTATGGCCATATAACTCTTAGATAGCTTAGTTGTTAGAGCAGCATGACAACAGCACAACCAAGGGTGAGCCTGACTTTTACCAATTACACAATTCTAATTAATACATGTCACAATTTATTGACTATAATATTGTCGTAAAATTGTTACTGTGTAAAATTCGGGCAGGTAACCTGTGGTGAACTGAAGAAATCCCAGAGAGTTGTTAACACCTACACGAGACTGTACAGATGCCATCCTTGCTCTAACAAGGACCAACAGCCGCCATCAATACAGGTCCAGGACGGACTGCATGTGGTGGACAGTGTCTGATGTTAGATGACTACACTATAACAACTTAACAGTTAAGACATGGTTACTCCTTAACTAACACATTTTAGCAGTAGTACTAACACACATTAATTTAGTAGCTTATTTTAATATCCGTTATATGTGATATAGAACATTTACATTTATAAATAAAAATGTAAATGTTCGTTTGTTCAACATCGCTAATCTCCGAAAGTTCTTCACCAATTGCTTTGAAATTTTTACACAACTTTCTATTCGCAAACGAGCGTGTTTTTATATACATATTATATAGGTGACATGATTTATTTTAATAATAATGTTTTTCATGTGAGTTTCATGTGAGAGAAATCTCTGAAACCTCTTTACCGATTGCTTTGAAATTTTGGGGAGGTTGAGGGGGCAGGGGAGTGGAGAATGGTGGGGAGGACAATTTGACGTGGGAGTGGGGGATGGTGGGGAGGACGAGGGGATGGGGGAGGTGGAAATGGTTGGAAATACATGAGGACGGGGGAGTGGGGGATGGTGGCGAATACGAGGAGACGGGGAAGTGGGGAATGGTGGGGAGGATGAGGGGACAGGGGAGTGGGGGAGGACCAGGGGAGGGGGAAATAGTGGGAAGGACAAGAGGATGGATAGGGGGAGAATGGTGGGGAAGAAGGAGGGACAGGGGAGGGTTGCTGTGGCTCAGCAGCGCGCATGCGTTGCTGAGCCACAGCAACGCATGGCCGGGTACAGCTGGTATATAAACAAACAAAATCCTGCTGGGAAAACGCCCACAGCTGTGTGCTGTGGGAGGGGTGGCAGTGTGTTGTGGGAGGGGTGGCTGTGTGTTGTGGGAGGGGTGGCTGTGTGCTGTGGGAGGGGTGGCTGGGTGTTGTGGGAGGGGTGGCTGTGTGTTGTGGGAGGGGGTGGCTGTGTGCTGTGGGAGGGGGTGGCTGTGTGTTGTGGGAGGGGTGGCTGTGTGTTGTGGGAGGGGTGGCTGTGTGTTGTGGGAGGGGTGGCTGTGTGTTGTGGGAGGGGTGGCTGTGTGTTGTGGGAGGGGTGGCTGTGTGTTGTGGGAGGGGGTGGCTGTGTGTTGTGGGAGGGGTGGTTGTGTGTTGTGGGAGGGGTGGCTGTGTGTTGTGGGAGGGGTGGCTGTGTGTTGTGGGAGGGGTGGCTGTGTGTTGTGGGAGGGGGTGGCTGTGTGTTGTGGGAGGGGTGGCTGTGTGTTGTGGGAGGGGTGGCTGTGTGTTGTGGGTGGGGTGGCTGTGTGTTGTGGGAGGGGTGGCTCTGTGTGTTGTGGGAGGGGGTGGCTGTGTGTTGTGGGAGGGGTGGCTGTGTGTTGTGGGAGGGGTGGCTGTGTGTTGTGGGAGGGGGTGGCTGTGTGTTGTGGGAGGGGTGGCTGTGTGTTGTGGGAGGGGTGGCTGTGTGTTGTGGGAGGGGGTGGCTGTGTGTTGTGGGAGGGGGTGGCTGTGTGTTGTGGGAGGGGTGGCTGTGTGTTGTGGGAGGGGTGGTTGTGTGTTGTGGGAGGGGTGGCTGTGTGTTGTGGGAGGGGTGGCTGGGTGTTGTGGGAGGGGTGGTTGTGTGTTGTGGGAGGGGTGGCTGTGTGCTGTGGGAGGGGTGGCTGGGTGTTGTGGGAGGGGTGGTTGTGTGTTGTGGGAGGGGGTGGCTGTGTGTTGTGGGAGGGGTGGCTGGGTGTTGTGGGAGGGGTGGTTGTGTGTTGTGGGAGGGGTGGCTGTGTGCTGTGGGAGGGGTGGCAGTGTGTTGTGGGAGGGGTGGCTGGGTGTTGTGGGAGGGGTGGCTGGGTGTTGTGGGAGGGGTGGCAGTGTGTTGTGGGAGGGGTGGCTGTGTGTTGTGGGAGGGGTGGCTGTGTGTTGTGGGAGGGGTGGCTGGGTGTTGTGGGAGGGGTGGCAGTGTGTTGTGGGAGGGGTGGCTGGGTGTTGTGGGGGGGGGGTGGCTGGGTGTTGTGGGAGGGGTGGCAGTGTGTTGTGGGAGGGGTGGCTGTGTGTTGTGGGAGGGGGTGGCTGTGTGCTGTGGGAGGGGGTGGCTGTGTGTTGTGGGAGGGGTGGCTGTGTGTTGTGGGAGGGGTGGCTGTGTGTTGTGGGAGGGGTGGCTGTGTGTTGTGGGAGGGGTGGCTGTGTGTTGTGGGAGGGGTGGCTGTGTGTTGTGGGAGGGGGTGGCTGTGTGTTGTGGGAGGGGTGGCTGTGTGTTGTGGGAGGGGTGGCTGTGTGTTGTGGGAGGGGTGGCTGTGTGTTGTGGGAGGGGTGGCTGTGTGTTGTGGGAGGGGGTGGCTGTGTGTTGTGGGAGGGGTGGCTGTGTGTTGTGGGAGGGGTGGCTGTGTGTTGTGGGAGGGGTGGCTGTGTGTTGTGGGAGGGGTGGCTCTGTGTGTTGTGGGAGGGGGTGGCTGTGTGTTGTGGGAGGGGTGGCTGTGTGTTGTGGGAGGGGTGGCTGTGTGTTGTGGGAGGGGTGGCTGTGTGTTGTGGGAGGGGTGGCTGTGTGTTGTGGGAGGGGTGGTTGTGTGTTGTGGGAGGGGTGGCTGTGTGTTGTGGGAGGGGTGGCTGGGTGTTGTGGGAGGGGTGGTTGTGTGTTGTGGGAGGGGTGGCTGTGTGCTGTGGGAGGGGTGGCTGGGTGTTGTGGGAGGGGTGGTTGTGTGTTGTGGGAGGGGGTGGCTGTGTGTTGTGGGAGGGGTGGCTGGGTGTTGTGGGAGGGGTGGTTGTGTGTTGTGGGAGGGGTGGCTGTGTGCTGTGGGAGGGGTGGCAGTGTGTTGTGGGAGGGGTGGCTGGGTGTTGTGGGAGAGGTGGCTGGGTGTTGTGGGAGGGGTGGCAGTGTGTTGTGGGAGGGGTGGCTGTGTGTTGTGGGAGGGGTGGCTGTGTGTTGTGGGAGGGGTGGCTGGGTGTTGTGGGAGGGGTGGCTGTGTGTTGTGGGAGGGGTGGCTGGTGTTGTGGGAGGGGTGGCTGGGTGTTGTGGGAGGGGTGGCTGTGTGTTGTGGGAGGGGTGGCTGGGTGTTGTGGGAGGGGTGGCTGGGTGTTGTGGGAGGGGGTGGCTGTGTGTTGTGGGAGGGGTGGCTGTGTGTTGTGGGAGGGGGTGGCTGTGTGTTGTGGGAGGGGGTGGCTGTGTGTTGTGGGAGGGGGTGGCTGTGTGTTGTGGGAGGGGGTGGCTGTGTGTTGTGGGAGGGGGTGGCTGTGTGTTGTGGGAGGGGGTGGCTGTGTGTTGTGGGAGGGGGTGGCTGTGTGTTGTGGGAGGGGGTGGCTGTGTGTTGTGGGAGGGGGTGGCTGTGTGTTGTGGGAGGGGGTGGCTGTGTGTTGTGGGAGGGGGTGGCTGTGTGTTGTGGGAGGGGTGGCTGTGTGTTGTGGGATGGGTGGCTGTGTGTTGTGGGAGGGGGTGGCTGTGTGTTGTGGGAGGGGGTGGCTGTGTGTTGTGGGAGGGGGTGGCTGTGTGTTGTGGGAGGGGGTGGCTGGGTGTTGTGGGAGGGGTGGCTGGGTGTTGTGGGAGGGGTGGCTGTGTGTTGTGGGAGGGGTGGCTGGGTGTTGTGGGAGGGGTGGCTGGGTGTTGTGGGAGGGGTGGCTGGGTGTTGTGGGAGGGGTGGCTGGGTGTTGTGGGAGGGGTGGCTGTGTGTTGTGGGAGGGGTGGCTGTGTGTTG